TTTTTTTGCATGGGAAAGAGAAAAAGGGGAAACACTCTTACTAATCCTTACCAAATTGTGATATTTTTTCATTTTATCACAAGAAAAATTTGAAAATTCTAGTCATTGTATCCTGACAGGCATAGGATAGGGTCAATAGAATGACTGCTTTCAGGGCTGAATAGGCAGTTTTGAATTAATTCCTTAGGAGTTCCACCACCTCTCAGAAAGTGAGAGCAACTAGGCATGTTTTAGATTTCCCAGATTCATTCTGCTTCCTGTGCTGCTTAGAATGGTGGAACTCTGTCAGTGAAAACATCTGTGGCAAGATCCCCTTAGTAATGGCTTGTGCATTTGTGTTCTGCAGGGTAAACCTCACATACTAATGCTCTCTCACCAGGAACTAGAAACTGGAGCCTGCGCTTTTCCCCCTTTGGTTTTTTCCAGTTCACCTAATTAAAAAAATACAAGCAGTGAAAGAGAGAGTGTGATCTATCGCATGCTGCAGAGATATTTTTGATGCAACAGGGTTGAACTCTGAAGATGATGGAGAGCAGTACATGATCCAAAAACAAAGAACTTGACTTTGAAGTAAAGTTATGTCCCATCTGAAAAATTTTTTTTTTTTTTTTTGGCAAACTTCTGGTGTTATTCATGGATGTCCCACCTGGTGACCAGACTTTGCACTCTTCCCCAAGGGGCACTTCCACATGTGGGCTTGTTTTTGTTTGCAGTCAGCAGCATCAGATAATCATGGACTCCTGAACTGTTTTGTAAGCTGGCATTGAGGCTCTGGGAAAATGGCCTAGGTCAGCCTGCCAGAAGTTAATGGTAGCAGAACCCAATACCAGAGATATAATGGCTACTTTGGTGCAAGTTTACTTACTTCAAGCTGTACTTGAAAAAATCGATGTGAAGAGTCTTTCGCAATTAGAGATGACCTGTGAATCCAGAGGTTATTATGGGGTCAGTGATTGCAAATGTATAATTTTTTAAAAGGCTATAAGATAAGATTTGTAGCACAATTTTTATTATTTGAAGAACAACTTCATGCTGTTGGCCACTCATCTCTCAAAGAGCGCTCTGGTTAGGTCCTTAGTCAAAGTCCAAGTCAAGTCAAGTGTGGTTGTACTTAGTCAAATTGTGTTTCTGACTCTGAGATTGCTCAACTGGTAGGGATAACACCCAAGATAATATCCAAATTTTGTGCCTTTTTGAGACTAAGGAATTATAAGAAATTATGAGTGATTGTAAGTTTACATGCTTTGGAATGCCTTCTTTGAGGTTGCCCTATTAAACACAGCCAGAAAACTTTGCTAGCAGAACTGTGATTCAGAACACAAGGTTTGGTGCCAGGCAGGTCAGGATTTGAATTTCCAAGTCTACCATTTAGCAATAGGAAATTAATCTCTGAACTTTTTTGTAAACCTGGAAAGTGGGGTTAATAATCTCCCTCCCACATAGTTGTAAAAAGTAACAGGATACTGTTGTGTTGTACCTAAATCGGTGCTGACAGATGCTCAGTAGTGGCATTCTTGGATGTACTGCTGTCAGTGCTGTCACTGGATTTTGGTAAGCCTAAGACAACCTGTAAGACCCAGAATTCTCAGAACCACCTAAAAACTTGTTAAAATACATATCTCATGTCTCACATCAGATCTACTGAATCAGAATTCAGTGTGAGTCTCTGCAGCCTTTGTGGGTGATTCCCATGCTCACAAAAGTTTGAGAACCTCATATAATGTAAAGTGCTGTTTAGGAATCAGTGAACTTAGGTGTAACTGTTTTGTGTGGGACTTAGAGAAAGTTTGATGAGGCTGATGTTGGGATGAGGTTATCCTGTGAGAGAGTGGATGTGTTTTGCCTCCACCTAAAGGAAAATGCCACCTTTAATTAAATGAAGTGATAGTCAACTTGTAATTATTCAAAAGTAATTACAGAGCTTATGGACAGTGTAGAACATTTACTGTTTCCTAAAATCCCCTCATTTAAAATGTTTCCATCCACCCCCTCCTTAGCTTGCACCTTGGTTTTAGAACAATGATATCTAGAGACTGAACAGTGGTTTTGTTTACTCCTATTGAGAATTGTGTTCATCTTTTTTATACTTAGGTTTTCTCCATTTTCAATATGGAAGCAATTAAGAGAAAATAATTCATGAAAAAAATTGCCTACGGGCTTTAATATACCTTAAAGCCATTGCAAACTTGAAATAGTAAAAACTAAATAAACCAAAGAGAAGTTAGACAATTCAGGAGAGTGTGGGCTTACAGTCTACTCTGTGATGTCTTGGAAAGATTGACGGGTCACTTCCTGTCTCTTCTTTCTGCTTCTGCCCTGCCCAGGAGCTTTGCTGAGTGACATCTACAGCGAGTTGCCCCCACAGGCAGTGTGGGTGAGAATAAATTTTCTCACAAAGTCTAGACTTCATAAAACTCACCCTACCAGTGACACTCATGTCTTTCTTCATGTCACTATTTTTAAGGCTTTTCCATTGAAGTATCATGGTGATGAGAAAAAAAAGATATGTTCAAAACTTTTCTCAGTTGACATGTATGTCTGCCAATCAAATTGTAATTTTTTTTAAATTACAATTTTAATCAAGTAAAATCTTAATTAACCAGAATTATTAATTCAATATGGATTTCCTCCCTGTGTGAAGCTCCTTGTTTTTTTGAGTCATATGATATGCCAGTGTTAAGAATTTTGGAAAATTGTGCTTTTCTCATTCTTTTCTGCAGTTTTTTAAAAAAATATTTTGGAATGGAAATCTGGAAATGTGATAAAACCTAACTGGTGCTGAAATAAAGATGGGCTGATTTAGAAATATTTCAGTCATTTTAAATAAGTGTAACTTTTTTGGGGGAAAGATTTATATATTTATGCATACAAGAGCTGGGGTACAGGCCAGAGATGCATGGAGGTGAGAGGATTCACCAGAGACAGAGTGGGGTGCAGAACAGGCAGACGGACTGAAATACACTGCTGAGGGGAGCAGCGGGGGAGATGGGAGAGGTTTGCTTCTCCATGTGGGTTGCTCCCTTGCCAGCTGGGGATCAAACTCGTGCTGCAGAGACTGCAGATTGCTTCATAGTGCGGTGCTTAACCCCTTGCACCACCAGGAAGGCCCAATGTAACTTTTTTTAAAGATGTGTGTAGATAGGTTGATAGGAAAATTAAGTGTGGACTCTGAGCAGCCTGTTTATACCATTACTTTTCAATCAGGGACCAAGAATTTTCCATCTGGTATTACTTTTTCAGAGACAAAAGTAGCAACTTCACAGAAGTGGGTAGAAATCTACCTTTTAAAAAGCAGAACCAAGTTTTTTTTTTAAAGATTTATATTTATTTATTTATTTGTTTGTTTGTTTGTTTGTTTGTTTTATTTATACAAGCACTGGGTACAGTCAGAAGCGCGGGAGGGTGAGAGAATTCACCAGAGCCAGAGCGGGGAGCAGAGCAGGCAGGACAGAAGTACACTGCTGAGGGGAGCAGTGGGCAGCAGGAGAGGTCTGCGTGCCATGTGGGACCCTCCTCCGGTGGCCCGTGAGCAGCCAGGGTTGGAACCGGTGCTGCAGAGGCTGTGGGTAGCTTCGTAACCCAGCAGCGCTCAACTGCTGTGCCACCGGGGAGGCCCCAGAACCAAGTTTTTGATATGGCATGATAAATCATTCTTTATGACATACAACCAGATAGTTTAGCCCCCCCACCCCCAATATTGAACAGCTATGGAAATAGTAGACAATTTTTTTGATGGTTATAGTTTTCTCCCCCACCCCACAAAAACATTTTGTTTTATTTACTAATGCATATAAGAGCTGAGGTGTGGGCCAGAGGTGGGGGTGGTGGTGGTGGCAAGAGGATTCACCAGAGACAGTGGGGAGCAGAACAGGTGGATGACTGAAATACACTGCTGAGGGGAGCAGTGGGCGAGACAGGAGAGGTCTGCTGGGCCATGTGGGTTTCTCCCTAGCCGCGAATCGAACTCATGCTACAGTGGCTGGCAGTAGCTTGATAGTGCTGTCTTTAATCCCTGTGCCACTAGGGAGGCCCCAGACTAGAATTTCTAATGGTACATATAGTCTTGGCTAAACAACTGAATATTTTCCTATTTATTCAAGTAAAATAGGAAGATTGAGTTAATAGAAGCAAGTCTGTGAGGACAAAAGTCTTAATGTCCTTATCTGTCCTTATTCTGTATCACATCTGGGGGTTGGGAGGAATGGCCTGTGTTGCTGACATGAGGCAAGCCCCTTTTGGTTTACATGCTGACTAAAAGGGCACTCTTTCTGGTTTTCATCTCTGTGAATGTGTCTTTTCCATGAAAGCATTTTAGCCTTTTTGGTGCCAGGACCAATGACTTTTAGGATATTTTTTTATGTGGTTTAAGTGGAGCAGTCAGATTCTAAGACATCTCAGTTGGTAGAGCTGACATCTAAAATGGGATTTTCCCATCCATGACATTTTAAATGCGAAATAAAAATTATCTTTTTGGCTTTACACGCCAAGACACTCCCAGTAGAGTTGGCTGAGAATAAAATAAATGCTGTTTTGGGTGCCTGGTAAATCTTTTAATTATGAAATAAGCCTTTTGATTTTAATCTTCCAAAATGTACAATACCAATCCAGGAAAACAGCCTTTTTAAAGTTCGTATCCTGCTGACTTCTTCAGATAAAAAGCTTCTACCTCTACCCCATATTTTGCAAGCGGAAAGTAAAAATATCATTAATCTTGTCTTAGTCACAATGTTGCCTATAAATGATTGTTCAGCTTGGAATCAGTCTTGAGCCTTGACGGCAGTAACCCAGAATGAATGTGTAGGTTCCTGGGGCCAGGACCAGAGCTGGAGGGTCACAGCCCTTTGAGTCCATGATCTAGGAGTGGGGTGAGGATCTTAGGCTTCCTTTAAATAATCTCCCTTGTTCCTTCTTCTTTTTCACCTATCCTTGCCTTCTCACACAGAACAAAACTTGGATACTGATAAGTTTTATTATTTTTGTTCTTCTGTGGCATCTTGAAGCAGCTTGTACAATGAGGACAGAAACCTGCTTCGAATTAGAGAGAAGGAAAGACGCAACCAAGAAGCTCACCAAGAGAAAGAGGCATTTCCTGAAAAGATTCCCCTTTTTGGAGAGCCCTACAAGGTATTTATTGCATACTGGGAGGTGAAAGTCTGGCTTATCACAATATTTAGCTGTCTGATGAATGTGAGTTTGCACAAGGGTCACAACTGTGAAAATAAAACAGCATGTCCTAGAGATTGTTTTTAAAAACAAGATATAAAATTTTTCTGAATCTTGTTAGTCAAAGTTACCAAAGTTTGTGGTTTTCTTTTGTAATGTTATTTTCCTGTATGTAGTACTATGTGTCCTCTTCCAGGGAAACTGACTTTAAATTGCATGTTAAATTCTACATGTTACCTGTTAAGTTGGGGTGTTTCTTTTTTATTGATATTATATAACCTGGTTTATTAAATGGTTGTTTTTCTTAGCTTTTAAAAAATATTTAACCCTATTTTACTTTTCTTTTTTCAGACAGAAAAAGGTGATGAGCTGTCTAGTCGCATACAGAACATGCTGGGAAATTATGAAGAAGTGAAGGAGTTCCTGAGTACCAAGTCCCACCCTCAGCGCTCGGATGCTTCTGAGAATAGGTTGGGAAAACAGAGACATTCTTTTTTTCCTGAGAAGGGGAGCAGCGTTCCCTCCCACTCCTTCCATACTAGTGTCCACCACCAGCCTGTTAACACTCCTGCCTCTGGGCCACTGCCTGTTGGTAATATTAGCCACAATCCAAAGATGGCACAGCCAAGAATGGAACCAATGTCAAGTCGCCATGTCAAAAGCTACTGTCCATCGGACAGCCAGCATCTGACCCAAGATCGCCTTGGTCAGGAGGGATGTGGCTCTAGTCATCACAAAAAAGGTGACCGCAGAGTTGGTGGAGGAGACCACTGTGCGTCAGTGACAGACTCGGCTCCAGCAAGGGAGCTTTCTCCCTTACTCTCCTCTTTGCCTTCCCCTGTCCCCCCTTTGTCACCTATACATTCCAACCAGCAAACTCTTCCCAGGACACTCGGAAGCAACAAGGTTCACAGCAGTAACAGTAACAATAAAGGCTTCTACAGGGCAAAATCTCCAAAGGACCTCACCGGAAAGGTCCATGAGAGAGAGACCCCTCACGACAGTTTGGTGGCAGTTGCCAGCCTTGGCGTAGCCCCTCCCCAGCCACCTTCTCAGGCTTTCCCCCAACCTCCTCTCCCCTCAAAATGCATCGCAATGCAGCAAAAACCTACAGCTTATGTCCGGCCCATGGATGGTCAAGATCAGGCTCCTAGTGAGTCCCCTGAACTGAAACGGCTGCCGGAGGACTACCGGCAACAGACCTTTGAAAAAACAGACTTAAAAGTGCCTGCCAAAGCCAAACTCACCAAGCTGATGATGCCTTCTCAGTCTGTTGAGGTGAGTGGAATCTAATATCTGGGGCGGTTTCAGTGTGAAAGAGTATTTAAGATGAAAGTTTCTGGAAAGTGGTGGAAGTGACTTTGGGGTAGGAGATTCTGTTTTGACGTTATAATTTTGTTTATTCACACCAATTCAAGTCTCGGATTACTCATGACATACTTCAAGTGTGGTTTGCAGGAAGTTAAAAAAAAATCTACTTATTGAGCCATAATTTACATACAGTAAAATATATAGATCATTGTAAGGGTATATAGAGTTTGTGTTTTGAAAGATGTGTACCATCTGTATAACCCACAACCCGATCAAGATAGATAACATATCTATTATGAGAAAGTTTCAGGAAAGTTTTGAGTTGTACATTTTTTGTTTGGGGGAACACTGGCTTATTTATCAGTGTTTAAAAAAAAAAGTACTAGTTTTTTAGTTAATACTTCCTTACTCTCAACCTGAGCTCTGGGTGTAGGGTGAAATCTTATTTGAGAGTGAATTAGAGATATAAATTGTTACTCAACATGGCTTTTTAAGGTAACTAAAATACTATATATACATTTTTAACAGTTGTGGAAGGACGTTTTATTTTAAAACTATGCAGTACGGAGTGCCCAGTGGTAATTATACATATATATTTTAATGCGATATTTGGTAAACCAAGAAAAAATATTCTTTTTCTGTTCCTTTGATAAATGGCAGCATTGTGCTTGAGTGAGGACAATTCAAGCACTCATCCTATCACTGAAATTCTAAATAAGTACTACTTATTCCAAAATTAAGATCTGCAGAGCCAAGGGAAATGTTTAAAGAAGAAGCTTATCTGTTAAGGTAAATTCTGTGGTTTAGTTACATCTGTTGTATAAACATTTAATTTACATATCCAGGCCTCAGAGTGTGCAACAATCTACATGTCTTACCTACTGCTAAAAGGTAAAATTCCTGAAGGCTAAAAAAACCCAGCGGAAACAAAATCCTCTAGGATCCTTAGCTATAAAGATAACCTGTTCCTTTGTGACCAGCTTTTGGGTTGGAATCTGTCTTCAGTCAGCTCTTGAGTTGGAGTCTCCAGCATGCTTCAAGATGGGATTTGTTTGGAGGTCAAGGAAAAATGATAATGGGGAGTCAAAGCAAAGGGTAGAAATGGCCAAGATGGCAGAACTCTACCTTTAACTGCAAATTATAAAGTCTGCGATAAGCCATTTATTGGCAGGGGGAAAGAACAGAAGAATAAAATGAGATTCTCTCTCCCAAAATGGTCAGTCAAGCCCTTCTTTTAATTAAGATAGTAAAGAACTTAACGGGATTTTCTATGCTTGAGCAAATAGGGTCTGTTCTGTTTTCCTAGTTAACAAAACAAAATAAACATCAAGGGAATAGTAACTAAAAATTGCTTTAAAATGATTTTTAAAGGGCCAATTTTCTACCAAATGCCCAACCATGTGCTAATGTGCAGGATGGGGTGCCAAAAAACGTTCTGATCCCTGTCCCAGAAGAGACTGTAAGTCTAGGGTGGACGTGAGCTTACATACAGAACAACAAGGTATGAACTAAAGTTTTCAAATGTTAGCTAAGACAATGAACATATGTAAATTAAGCCGATAGATTTTTCCAGTAGAGCTTTTAGGGAAGAGGACCCTGGTTAACTTTAGTTGCCTTTTTTGGTGAAAAAAACATAAGCCCAATTGAGATTTCTCCAAGGTCCTCAGATTTTATAAATACTTCAAATACAGGACTATGCAAGATGGCATGTTCTCTCAGGGGACATTTGCAATGAACAGAATCCTCCATAAATTTGGTGATTGGAATTCGGTGATGGATTTTCTTGGCACAAATATATCTGCTAGGAATGATTGAGTAGATGTAAACGTTTTCATCCTTGGCCTGTTATTGCTATCAGCATTTTTAAAAATGTAATGACTCCCTCTAGTTTCTGCTGGAGCTCTCAGGTCAAGTGCAGCTATGGCTCCAACTTCCTCGGAATGCCTGGGTAGGATTGGTTGAATGGGAGGGGGAACCAAGATTCAGGGTGATCCGTGTGAGGGGTAGTTAGAACCTATGTACTGGGAATGAAGGGGGAGTAAATTTGGGATAATGATGCTCTCGGTCTGGGTTTTGGATTTGACTTAGTTCTTTTAACTGAGACCTCACATTTCACAGATATACCATTAATTTTCTGTTCACACAGCTTGTGAGAGGTTTTTTTTTAATGTAGAATTTGATTTAAAACCTTAGATTTTTATGTTCTGGTGAATTCCAAGGGAATCATAGAGGTGGGGCATAGAAAATGCAGGGAATTAAACCCCAGAGCAGGCAAACTGATGGGTACAGAAGAGGAAGTAGGCTGTTGGTAGAGCTGTGAAAAGGGAGTTAGGCTAGCCTGTGGTTTTCCTTTATTTGCTTAATTTCTCTTAAGGCAAATCTGAGGAAGACGTTTCCTGGCTTGCTTGAGGGCTTTTGATGTTTTGCATTGCTTCCCTTTCCCTATTGCTTTCATGAAACAGTATTATTTTAAAATGAACCAAAATGGGAAAGTCATCATGTCTGCTTGGAGTTCTTTCATCCTCAAGCTACCACATTAAGTGTGGATTCCCTGCACTATTGATTTTTTTACTTCCTGGTAAAGACTTGATTTCTATGGTAATTCTCCCTCCCCCCACCCCCTTTCTTTCATGGTTCTAATCCATTCTACAAACACAACTGTATAATGAAAATATAATATGAAGCCAATAATACATTGCTATTGCACAATTCATTCTGAGATGGTATGATTTGAAAATGTTGGCACATGACTAAGCTTATATAAGACTGATTTATATAAGACAAAAACACTGAGACAGTTTCACCTTATTGATATTAAAAAGATGAAATTAATAATGAATAAATTAAATTGGCAAAAGTTATTTAAAAATCACATAGAGTTTGCTAATGGAATGAGTGGAGAAGACCAAATGTTCATACCAGTTCACTAGCTTTTACATCATCATCATGCTTTTCAATAATTTGTTTCAATTTAATTGAAATATTCTTTTTAATTATTTATTTATAATTAAATAGATCTTTTCTTTTTTTTTTAAGATTTATTTATTTATTTATACAAGCACTGGATACAGTCAGAAACATGGGAGGTGAGAGAATTCACCAGAGCCAGAGTGGGAAGCAGAACAGGCAGAAGGACTGAAGTACACTGCTGAGGGGAGCAGCGGGTGGCAGGAGCGGTCTGCGCGCCATGTGGGACCCTCACCCAGTGGCGGGGGATCGAACTGGCTATGCAGAAGCTGTGGGCAGCTTTGCAGCCCAGCGCTCAATCGCTTTGCCACCAAACCGCTTTGCCACCGGGGAGGCCCGAAATAGTCTTTTTAATATACTCCTTAGGGTACATGGTTAGTTTAACATACTATTTTTATACAGTTCTACAACCACTTTTATGAAAGGAATGCATAAAGAATTAAAAACCCAGAACATTTCTATACCTCACTAAAAAAATCCATGGGCCCATTTGTCGAAAGATCGTCAGACATAAATAGGCTGTGATTGGCTCATATGCTAGCAGTTATTCAAATGTTCCACCCACATGGTTTAGTTGGTGGCAATTGCAATGCATTAAATCACAAAGTGATTTATATTTTAATAGGAAGGACTCATCATTGAAAAATGATTTGAGCATACAGTGGACCAATTATAAAGTCTGTATGTAAATTAGTTGTTTCTCCTAAAGAATGACATTCTTCCCAGGATAAGTTATTCTCATTTAACAGTCTTAATTTAGTCTTAATTCTCACTTAATTTAGTCTTTCCTAAAAATCATGAAGGGAAAAATTACTGAAAGGTCAATATTCTGACTAACTAGATGCCTGGACCACAGAAATCCACATTTGTTTTTCTCTAGTTGTCAGTTTTAATTTTGTGTCAGCTGGAAGATGACCCTGTAAAGGCACAGTCAGGGCTTGGTGATCTCATGTACATATCTTCCAGATGTATAATTGCCACCTCAGAGATAGACCTGCCTGAATGGAAGGTTGAGTTTCTTTTACATCCCTTTTTTTCTTCTAAAGATAACAAATGAAAGTGAGAAAAGAAGATGCCCCCCCTCCTCTCTCTGTCTGTGTGTGTGTGTTTTAGTAGCAGAGACAGAGCTCCTAGTTCTATGATCTTTCTACTTTTCTTGTGTAATTGAGAATGGAGATTATTGGATTGTTTTCAACAGGAGAGTGATTATATATATTTATATGCATACATAAATACACATATATATATATTTTTTGTTTATTTGTTTTTAAAGATCATGATGGCTCCTGGCTAGAGAATGGGTTGGAGGGGCAAGGTTAGAAGCAGGGAAACCAGCCGGGCTGTGAGAAATGATGAGGGCTCAGAGTAACTAGTAGGCATGGGCACAGTGAGAATGGACAAATTCTGGATGTATTTGTCAGGGAGCTAATATGACTTTGTGACTGATTAGTAATGGGAGTGGTCCTGAGGTGAGGAAGAGTGATGTATCAAAAAGGTCCATAGATATTTATTTGAAAAGTAAGGATGGTGGGACAGTACCAACTACTGAGATGGAATCAGCCCAGTGGAACAGGTCTAGCGGGAAAATCAAGAGCTCTGTATAACTCATGCAGTAAGTTTGAGATCCCCTTTTATGTCCAGATACAGGTAAGTTGGCAGTCATAAACGATAGACAAGAGCACAGAATTTGAGGATTGGAAATACAAAATTTGGGATGTGTTTGCATATAGTGGGTAAAGCTTTGGTACTAGGCAGTTGTACATGAGAAGAATCTGCACCAGGCCCTTCTAGCCTAGCATTACCTGTACCTATGGGCAGTGGGTGGAAAGAGATAAGAACCTACTGGATCTTCAGAAGTTAAAACTGAAGATCATCTTGGAAATCTGGGAATCTGTTTATAGATTAGTAGAAATTCTAAATTTCTGGGTTTTTTTTTTTTTTTTTTTTTCACTTAGATTTGGAAGTATACCTGTATATGGCACAATTTGCTTAGTTTATCC